AAGTATTCAATTTCGGTAGACTAGCTCTAGAGAATGTCTTTATGTGGAAGTTTGAACTCAGTTTCAGATGTCTTAAGACATGCTCTACCCACTCATAAATTTTATTTAAAACTGGAGGTCCAAAGTCCAAAGATTGTTCATCTGTGAATAACGGATAAGGCTCAAATCTTTTGCCTTGCTGCTTTACAAATGGATGTGAAAAAAAAACCAGGACTCATGTTCTGAATGGAAGGATCTTCTGTTCATGTAGAAATTATCCATACCACCACATTACCATCCCCAGTTTTGATTCAACTTTGCAGACTATTTTCTCACTGGAGACATGTATAAATGAGAAACTGATCCTACAAAGCTTGCTTGGCTTCCAAGTCCATCTTTCAGTGCATGGACTGATGTGGTCACTGACAGTAAATGCCATATTCTTATTTCTTCTTATTGTCTTGGCATATATATCCATGGAAGACCAATTTTATGTCTCAAAATGTGAACGCTCTTCTGCAGTTCACAGCAGGCAGAATTCTGTTTCAAATAAATCTCTTTTCAGACAGGATTTTATATTCTAGGTTTCAGCTCATAGGTGTTTCTTGGGCTTATATTGGCAGTGTAAGTTTGTCAAATCAATTCAGCTACTTTTATTTTACTTAGAAGTTTAGTGAGTTTACTAAATGTAATTCTCATATATACTGTTGAGAAAACAGCTATAGTCAGGATCTGCACTTATATTTAATTCTGTAGATATCATGAATCCCTAGCCAGTTGAGTTAATTGATCAGCAGTTACCTCAAAGCACCTAGTGACAGGTTTAGTCTGTCGCTTAGGCAAGATTTTTAAACCAGAAAGTATTGGGATTATAGCAGTTCCAGAGTAAAACAAACCTGTATTGACAGCATATTTTTAGTCTTACTTATCTACAGCTACATGAGTCTTTTACACTTTTTGGAGATGTTTTCTTATTAGTGACTTAACCAGTATGGTTATTCTGGCAATTATTTCTAGTAGTCTAATTATAAATGCTAGTGCAGCTATTGCCTGACTGTTTGTTCTGCAGCATATGGTTTATGTCAATATGTTATTTAAAAATAAAACAAGGAAAGAGTCCAGTTTTCAGTTGATTCTACATGAAGTAATTGCAACCTCACCGGAAAGTATATATCCATTGTTGCATTTATCTAGCAGGCATAACTACGCACATTATATCTTTTGGCTGATAATGCAGTTTAGATTGTCCACAGATACATCTACTTAAATCAATTGGTTTACATGTACTTGTCTATTATAGCAATCACACAGTGGATGTATTTATCTACGAATTAAAGTTCGGCTCCTGTAACTGTAAGTGAGGAACATTGGCTTTTTCTTCTTTACTAGCTTTATCTTTAATTACACTTACAGAGAGCCCTTAATGGGTTGTGAGATCCCATAATTGAGGTGGTAAGGTTAATGGGGCATCTTGTTATGCTACACATTTTTGTTGCAAATAATTTTATATATTAAATGCAGGAAATCTTTGCTGTAGGAAGGTGAGACAAGAATTTGAGTGGCTAAAGAAGGTGGGTCCAGCTAACGGCTGGTTGCAAAAATAAAGCTTAAGAACCATGAAAGCAGCTGCCTTTAGAGAATGACACAATTGTAAGATACAACCAGTATCTGAAATGTAGCAGTGAATGATTTTGTCTAGCAATGACAAATCTGAGGGAGTTAAAATAACAATGTTTAAAAACTGCACGTGATTATCTTAATTCACCCTGTAAAAGCCAGGAGGTGCTAATCTCCATTCAGTATTTTTTATGTATGTGACTGTACCTGCCACATCCAGATCTTTTGATCACGTCTGTGGCCGTGGAGATGCTGAGCATCGCCTCCACTTTCAGTGTAGAAATACAGTACAGAGACATTTTTTATACAGAGTAAGAACTGTGATCTACTCTATTCCCTGTCAGGATAGTTTCTGAGATGTTTTTTTGGCCAAGCAGTCCATTTGGTAAAGGCATAAGGTTATTTTCTCACGCAGTCACCATCCTTCTGAATTTACACTACAGGAACTGCTTGCAAGTTTGGTTACCAACCGTACTCCTCACTGTATCCTTTGGTGACCATCTGTCTCTCTCAGGATATTTCCAATGGTGGTGCAGTATGGAGAATTTCCTATGGAAGTGGCTGTTCTAAGCCAAAAACATCAAATGGGGCACTGTGAGACAGGCACGTGTAATCCTTAGGACACGCAATACTGCACATTCTCTCTTCCAAGGAAATTCTGTCAGCTAAAGGGGCAGTAGTTGCCTTACTCACCACACTCAGGCAAAGGCTATGCTTCCCTCCTTGCCACCAGTACTGATTATCTGTTTATTGCAAAGCATTTGATTTAAACCCTGAATTTGCTCACTGTGCCCTGTGATGTTTAGAGAATTGAAGAAACTGTGCTGCTAGAAAAGCAACATGTACTGTGCTTTTGTACAGTCCTGATTGTCAATAAAATGTAATTTAGCTAAAACAAAAGTAGTGATTGTCAATAAAGTACAATTTAGCTAAAACAAAAGGCATATTTCTGACAAAAAGCTTCCACAGTAGTAGAGGCAGTAGAAGTGATTCAGAAAATACTGACATTACTAAATCTGCAGGTTTAACTCTGATGTTCAAACTTTCAAACAGAATAGCAGCATGAGCAGTTGGCAATTGTAATGTTATCAGCTGAAAGCTGTGTTAAAGATCATTACCTAAACATGTTTCTGCTACTGTGCTTTGACCAAACACACACTCCTACACACACAGAAATCTGTATGCCAAACCTGGTGTGAAAAAGGTTGCCACAGAAACCCTTCTGTGTGTATTGAGCACCTTTCTTTATCATTTGCACATGGAATAGACAGAAATGCGTCTTTTAACAGCCAGATCATCCATCCACAGGATGTAAGCAATTCCATGGGATATGATGGAGCTTATTTTAAAAAATAAAGACAGAACTAAATGTAGCATGTAATCATTTAGATCAAGACTGGAGGAAAAATGGTCCTGTTCAATGAAATGCACAGGAAACATTGAGGAGACCAGAATATAACTTTTGGGATTGTTAAACAAAGAGAGAAATAAAACCAACACAATTTCTCTCATTTTACATTAGAATTTTGAATTTCCAGAACTACCAGGGTGTTCATTTTGTACTTTACCAAAGTGCCACATACACAGCTAGGGAACTAACAGGAGGTTTGGGGTTTGATGTAACTCGCAGAGTTAGCCGAAATCCACAAGTGTGCAATGTATATAGAGAAAAACTGTTCACACAGTTACTTAAAGCTGCTTAACAGCTTAAAATGATAAAAAGTCCTTAACACAATTTAAGAACTTAAACCACTTAAACTGTTTGAAGCAGCTTGTGAGTTTGAAGAGTTTTGGTGGGGGTGAGAGAGGCATCCCTGCTGAACTGCAGCCCTGGGGACAGAGCTCACAGGCTCCCACGCAGTGTGTCCTGGCAAAGGGGCTCTTTTGAAGACAAACTTGGGAGGCCTGGAGGTGATGTGACGGAGAAGATGGAAGAGTTTTCTATATATGTTTTATACAGTATATGTATATGCCCAGATAGCTTTGCTTTAAATAGTGTTGCACAGAATCTTACAGGGATGTGAGGTGTAAGCAGTGGCATCCCCCCAGTGAAACAGGGAAGAGGGTGGCAGAAAAATATTGGCTATGACAAGTCTTCAGCTGTGGAAGACAGCTTCAGCTCAAGGGCCAAGAGAAAGCTCCTCAGGAGCATGGTGAAGAAATCTTCTGCAAGAGCTGCAAGGCAAAATGTTTTGCTTTCATCACTACAGGAGTTGGAGGCAGGTGCAGGTGGCATGAGCGGGCCTTTCAGATGTTTTAAGAAGGATTTTTATTTTCCTGAAAGATTGTTTTTGGGAAAAAAGAAATGGGGGAGGTGGGGGGTGCAGAACTTGTGTTAGTTTGGCTGATCTCAAACAGTGTTAGTCAGTTGCTCATATCAGAGGCATGTCAATGTTATTATGTGAAGTTACACATTTATAAAACATAAAATAAACAATTATTTAAACCATTATTTGTGAGATCCAGTTTGGTCCCTGCTGCCCCATGTGGTGGTCAATGGTTGAATGTGTGGTTGTGTGTGTGTATGCTCAGATGAAAAAACGGTGGCACTGCACAGAAGCAATACTTGAGGAAAAAGGAAGGAGGCACAGGAACAGAATGAACGTCTGGAGGTGGAAAACAGCTAGGATGATTCTTCTGATGGCAGTGATGCCACCTTAAATGTTTTGAAACTTGGCCTGGTTTTCATTGATGCAAGCAGTGATTTACACTTTTCTCTGCAGAAAAGGCTGTAAAACAGGAGTGAAATACATTCTGTACAATTTGAAAATAAATGGTGCATTCACAGCCACTCATGTTGAGGCTCATTTACACTTCCAGAGTGGTATGATGAGTAAATGAAAGTTAGCCCTGTGTGTGAATGAAAAATGCCTGTTTTACCAGAGGCTATGAAGAGATAGAGGGAGAGAGACTTAATGGAAATTGGAAGCAAGGCTTTTATTTGATTGTTTAAAACAGTCCTATTGATTTGGAGCCAAATGGAGTATTGGTATAACTGCAAACTAATTGCACTGAATTCTGCAAGGTATTTCTGGTGATGCCAATGGGGCTGGGAGTTTAAATTTATAATCTGAGTTTTTCCTGTGCTCAAGTAAGTCTTTATTGCACTACATTCTTGGGCAAACTTGGCATCGTAATATTTAACATGGATGTTAACTGTCCAAAAAAAAAATATATATATTTACTGGGATGAAGAAGAGCTTGGGTATAGTTAAATTTGTGTCAACCTCAATAGAATTAAATGACTCCTTGGTTTTCTTCTATGATGAGGAAAGAGCTATGCAAAAGTTACTCGGTGAGGGTAAGTGCTAACTAATGACAGACATAGAAAGAAATTATTTAATGAATGAAATCTTGGTAATGTACTACATAAAACTAATACCTTAATATTGCTTGAATTTCAGAACGTTTCAGGATCTGTCCAAACAAATGGATATATCTTATGGTACAGTCAGGGATTCAGCAGTGTATGAATACTTCAAAGCAAAAGGGACCAACCCTTTGGAACAGGATAACACATTTGCTGAACTGTGGAGGACTATCAGTAAGAATAATGGGGCAGATAACTGTGTATCGAACCCTTCTGAAGGCATCAGGAAGGTAAGACTGGAACACAGGGGTTTTAATTTAATTTTTGTGCTGTATCAATATTGTTTGCATGAAGCTAGTAATGTTAAGTCATAGGAAAGCAACTACATAATATTTTTTTTTTTAAAAATCCCTATCTAAAGTTCCTTTTAGTAACCTAATGGCAGGTAAGAATCATACTTTGGGGTCATGGTTTTAAATTTAAGTATTTTGGCTCTGCTTAAGTCTTCAGTGTGTAAGTCTTCCTTTGGATCTGGCCATAAGGTTTCTCGGTTTCTTGTGAGCTCTGATAATACTATTTTCAAAGTCATTCTTTACATTATCCAGTTACTGACTCTTGTCCTTTGCTCATTTGAGTAATTTTTTTTCTGAGTTGGTGGATTGAACTTATTGGAAACACGAGTAAGAATCAAGGGCTTCACTGAACATATACTCATGTCTCTTAGAACAGAAATTTAATGCAAGATTTCCTTTCTTTATTCCAGACTTTTAAAAATGCATATACTCTTTTACATGTCACTGTGCTTTCACCTAATTTTTATTTCTTTCAAACATGACTATGTATTTTTTTTGGAGAAACTGAGCATTTATATGGTATTCAAGGACTGATATATAACAGCTTGGGATCCTACATCCTTGTAACAAGTCCTGTGATAAACAGCCCTGGTTCAGATCATGCAAATACAAACATCCACACTTTCTCACTTCTAGTCTGCCTCTCTTCTCTGCCTCCCATCTTGTAGCTCACCAAAAGTGGATAGTAAATAATATCAAACGGCATGTGTCCAGGAATATGCTACAGCAGAAGGGATGCAGACATGGCGAAAGTTTAATGTGCTGTTCCTTCAGTGAAGTGTCCTCTTTATTTGTCAATTGATTTTTTTCATAAAACAAGCTAACATCTGTTATTAACATAGTGATTGAGCAGAGTTACTCTGTTGTCAGAGAAACACTGTTTCTGAATAAATACATTACTAGTTCTTTATGCTTTTCTAAGTCGGAAATAATAAAATGGATGGGGCCTCATTTTTTTTATTTTTTTTTTTTGAAACCTTTTCTGAACAGAGGGAAAGCATCTGAAATTTAACAGTGCCATAAGGGGCATGAACACAGTAACATAGGCCATCCCATTTTCCAAATCAAAGTATTTTAACATAAGATTCCCAACTACTTGTGTAACTTTTGGACAAAATCTTTATACAAACACTCTTGTGTCTTCTCAGTATTTAGTCAATAGTTTTGGTTCACCCTGCCTTTTCTTCCATCTTTCTTTCTTCCTCAGTACAAAGTAGAGCTCTGGCAATAGTGAAGTCTGTGGTGTGTTGCTCAGCAATTTAAGAGACTTTGTTAGCTTTTAAAGGAGGTAGAAATAGAGACATTAAGTACTTCTCTATGTACCCTAGCATTAAAACCAATAATAAAACAGTTTACCTTAGAAAAATGAACACTATTCTACTTTTTTTTTTTCCTTTTTTACCGTTCTTATGTCAGTGGATGCTCTTTAGCCATGAGATTGTAACTACTGTTATTCTGTAAGCCTGCTGCATGCTGCCATTTGTGATAGCTAAATTTGCCTAAGCCAGAAATGTAACTGTAGATTGGCAGGCTGTTTAGAGTACCAATTATATTGTCTGGCAGCTCCATCCTGTCTATGTGATAATAACTTTTCATATTAAGTTTGATTTCAGTATTGTAGGGTGATTTTTATATAACTTGATCAGCTCATTCAATTAATGTCAACAATAGCCAAATTAATTTCAGTCCTCAAAGCTGACCAAGGCTGCTATTTGATTAGACATCTACATAAACTGGACTTAACAGTTAATAACATTGTCAACTAATCTGTTGTGTTTATAGTTCAAATGTCGCTCTTCCTAGCTCATTGAGCTCTTTGAATAAACAGTCAAGTTTTCCATGTCAAATATTGCAGCTAGAAATTCTGTTTTTTCTAAAGGAGAATTTATGTCAGTGAAGGAAATGGGACTTTCCATCTGTAAACCTGCTGCATGAAAGAGATGTAAATGTGCCTTAAAAACTTATTTCATAAGAAATGGAAAATCTAAATCTCTCTAGCATAAAAAGATCCCTAAAACATTTTTCTGAATAAAGACTTGCCTAACACAATGCGAAAAAAAATATCACTATTACCTTTTATCCCCGCCTTCCCCTTTCCATTTTCTTCAGACAGCACCACGGTTCAGCTGCAGTTACAAACAGCAATGCTGCTTCAATGCAAAACAGGAGCATACTGCTTATTTATGGTACGGGCAGGTATTTCAGATATTTGTGCCTGTTCCGTTTACCTCTCTCCATTTCCCGGAGATTTTTGTACTACCTTTGACTGCCTAAAAACAAAAGGATAATAGTGGAAGAAAGTCCTGAAAGCTTTTGTGGCGTTTGGTTGCCATGGCAGTGGTCTCTCTTCAGACACAGCACAGTCCCTGTAGCCTCAGTGACCATCTCCCATTGCCAAGGCACAGCTTTTGCAGCACTGGTAGAGCCACGGAAAGGGCATTAATGCTCTGCAAAGTCACCTAAGCAACAGAAGGGTGTTTCAGAGCAAGGGGGGCAAGTTGCTTTTGTTGTACTCCCAAGGCAGTTGAAAGTCGTCATTGCAGATGGAAAACATCCTCCTATTCATAAAAGTCTCCGCACAGCATAAGAGAAGGTTACCAGACAAATCACTAGTCCATACAAAAAGCTGTTTTGCCACTTGAGTTTTCTGGTACTATAACAAATGAGGATTGACTAACGCTGCCATATGGAAAGTTTATTTCTGGGTCTAGCCACAGCCAGGATCCCCAAGAAGCATACAGTGGGTAGCTCCTGCTGTCTTATACTGGGTGGACGTTGGTACTGGAATCACACACATTTCTAAGCCATTTGTAAATCTCAGCAAACTGTTTGCGTAAGACCCAGTGGCACTCTGTTCTGGGTAATTATTAATTACCACAACACATATAATAACCTGTGGCTTTTTTCATTGTGGGCAGCCGTTTTTGCTTTGAAAGAATTAAGTGATATGATCCCATATATATCTTTTATATATATACATAGGAGAATTAAACTGTTATTGTTTTATGTTTTAAAAGCCTTGCTTTAGAGGACACTGTTTGTTCCCCTGTCCAATCAATTTGGTGCCAAAATTTCTCTGAATCCTTTCATTTCTTCCTGTCTATCACTTTTGATGAAAGTGATCAAAACCAAATAGAGTACAAAATGTGAATGTATCATCAATTTAGGCAATGGCACAGTAAGAGTTTATTCCTTCCGTTTTTTGCTTCCTTCATGAAGTTTCTCTCCCATAATGAATACTAAACGTTAAATCAGACTGTTTCTTGTTGAACAGTCACCTCTGTTCATTTTTATTTTGAGAGTAAATTTAATTTAAAAGTTCAATGAGTAAGATTTTTTTTTTAACTATTTTCCCCAATAATTTATTGTCCACAATGAATTTTGTATTGTGAATTGTGGTTGCTCATCCATATGTTTTCATGGGTCCTCATAAATTTCTCTATTTCTTCACCTATCAGCCTTTGAAGTAAAAGCAAATGCTTCCTTAAAGTCTGAATATATTACATCCTGTAGTGGCTCCTTAATGATATTAATTTTTAAATAATTTGAACAGGATTAAATGGCATGTTTTCTTTTTATTAGAACTGTGTTGCTTCTCTTAAAGCACTTTTTTATAGCTAATAAATGTTATCCAAGCATGTTTTTGAAGTACTCCACTAATGCCAATGTAAAGGTCACTTTTTGATATTTCTGTGGTACCAGCCATATAATGGGATCAGCTACAGTGACACTCTGTTCTGGCAGTAAATTAATGATGAATGTTGCATTATTCAGGCACTTTTGTCTTTAGTATGGTAGTTCATAAGTTTCAGATAAATCACAGACATATCAGTGGTTGATCTCAAATTCTTTTTTTTTCAAGTTATTATTGTTTGTTGCCATGGTTTCTTTGAAAAACCGTTGGTTTACCATCAGGAAGCCAGGATCCTTTGAACAATATTCTTCCATCTCCCTTCATGTTGAAGAGTGACAGTATGAGATTGCTTACTGCTTTTCTGAAGTACTACTATCTCTTTGTGGCCCTTCTTGTATCTAGGAAGCACTCTTCCTTAGCCTTTTAATGTTTTATGATTGTGAAGAAGAAATATTTTTAATATAAGTTTTGCCTAGGAGGTTCTTCTTGTCTTAAATCTGTTTTCTTAAACCTCTTCAACCAAAGATAAATCTGGTATCTTTAGTGTAAACCACCATAGTGGTTCCACCTGGGTGGAATAAATGAGCACTGCTTTGGCCAAATTTCTGTTAAAAGAGGTTTTTGAAAGTTTAACCGAGCTATTTTTGGTTTGTTCTGCAATATGCCTTCATGCTAAGTGTTGCAATAAGGCCATAGCAAAGGAGCAAACTATGAAAGCCAATTAAAAGTCTAAAGTATAAATTTTAGCTTACTATTCTATGTTTCATTTCAGTCATTTTTTATTCAAGCTATCTTACCTATTCTTTGCTGATGTTTGCCACATTCCCTTTTACCATCTCTCTCTATATATTATTTTTGCAATGATGTCTTATCACTAGAACATTTTTATTCTATTTTGGGCCTTAAAAATATAGAATGCAGGCATTAGATGGCTGAGCTGTGAATGCAAGAGCCTGAGGATATGGATCTTTGCTATATTGTGATCAGGACTCGGTTGCATGGGTAGGTACCTCTGTGTCATACGCAACTAGGGAACTTTGATATGTTTCCTGCTCATACACCCCATGGGTCAGTACCAGGTGTTTTCTGTAATTCTTAGTCTTCCTGCCTCCAGTACTCCTCTGGCCTGGAAGGTATGTATGGTAGGTATGCACATGCACGTGCATGCATTGTTTCATGTGAAAAAACTGAAAAGTTTAAACTACTTTTAAAAAGTTTTTGATGGATTTTTGGTTGAAAATAAGTGTGAATTTGAGTTTATTTGGCTTTTACTGCTTGCCTAGTTCAGGTATATAAAGAGTAAATATATCTTAAACATGTATGTGTGTGGTTGTGTCTTGCACATACGCTTTTCAAAGTTTGTCGATTTTTCTTTAAATTGAACAAATGATACTGCTTAGCTGTCACAGCAGATATTAACAGGGACGTGAAGGATGCTGAATTTAGACAGCAACTAAACATTTGGTCATAAGGAAGCTTTCCATGCAATGAACACACTAACAGCACAAGGTTTCCACTCTTCAGAGAAGAAAATTAAGCAAAGAAATTAAGAAAATTTTGAAGAGACAAATATTCCCTTAGAAGAAAGGGATCTCTGGAGATTCTGTTTCAGGCAATCAGAAAGTGGAAACAGTTTTACTTCCAGTATTTCTGGGAGTTAATAAGTATGCAAAACTAAGAGTTTAAAACTCAGATTCCTGTTTCTGCTAAAATGATCAGGCTGTTAGGGAAATAATGCTCTACAGATGTGATGGCACTGGATAGAATGATTTCTGTCATTAAAAAATATAAAATTGATATGAAGAGACCTGGTAGAATTTGTTTATTGATCATTTACAGTTGTAGGACACAATTTAGGATAGCAACATTGCAAATGCAAGACAAGTAGACCTTTTCAAAAGATCTGCTATCCAACATTGAAAGTCACTGTACAAAGCTCTTCTATACAAAGTAACATACAGAAAACTGAGGCTTGAAAAGCAGAATCGATCATGTGATTTTTCTCTAGACATTGCCTTATAATTGAAATAAAATCTTTGAGGAAGAATATGTTCCTCAAGTATTACTAAGGAAAAGATGAGGAATATATGACATGTTGTCAGTGTTCTTCTCTAAATTGTAAATTTGAAAAGATGATTTACAGAGCCAATCTGAAACAACTAAAAATTACATCTTTTTAAAACAAGCAAACAAGCATACAAAAAAAAAAAAGAAAACAACAGAAAAATGCAAGACACATTTTAGCACAGTGATTTAGGTCAAATCTTTTCTGGGTTTCCTGTTTCTGTATATCCATCAGGCAATTTTTTTTTCTCTAATAACAGGGATTTTGAATAAATTCTGTGTTTGGTCCCATGAGTACATATTTTTAACGCACTTGAACTTGGACAGTTTTCTGTCATAGGGCGCAAAAGCCTATGTACTATTTACCATGGCACACAACCTGCCTAAGATGTGCAAAAATAGGGCTTTTGATGGTCCTTTCCTGCCAGCAACACCAGTGGGCCTGATGCTCATTGCCTGTTGTCCCTAACCAGGTAGGAGGCCTATCAGCACCATCACAGATGTGAAAGCATAAAATGTGAATCATTAAAGCCCATCACAGGAAGAGCAGGAGACAAGATGCAGAGATTTGCTGCTAACAACCCAGTTAGTTATGGGTACATGATCATTCAGAAAATCCCTTTGAAAAGCACATTTTAGGCTTCCAAGAATGTAGGTTGCTGGCTGAATATAGGCTAGATGCCTTGAGGAATCACTCCCTTGCCATCCTTAATTTTTTACGCATCCTTGTGTTGGTAGGTTATGAAGTCTTTTCTAGCTGTTGCACATAGTAAAAAAGTGATTTGTTTATTCTTTCTGTTCCTCCTTTGTGCCACCATTATCATTTTAGGTAGACAGCCAGGTATAGTATTTCAATGCAAATGTGGAAGCCTTGCTCTGGTCTGGCTTTATATAGTGACATTGAAGTGAGAGTTATTTTTATAAGCATGCTAGTTTAATAAATTGTGTCAGCTAAATCAATGCATGATTTTAACAGTAGAGTCCTGTGGCTCCTATTTGAATAACTCCTGTAAGGCCCATACTGTAGTTTAGATTTTAATGATGTTTTGTACTAGTATAGCAATAGTTGTCTGAGGCTATACGCATTAATTGCTGTTACTCTGAACTGAGCAAGGAGGTGACAAAGGAGAAAGTGTGGACAGACCCACAGTGGTGGCATGCCTTTAACAAAAAATTATTTTCAAAGTGGTCACTACAGACTAATTTAAATCTTACCAAAGAGGAAGGATTTAACATTTTTACTCTTGTTTAATTCAGAAGCAAATAAATTTGGGGATCTTTGATTGCCTTGATGCAGTTAAAAGGGAAGTGGGGGAAAGAGGTAGATTGTGGCAAGCAGCTTACAGAAAATGCAAGCAACATACGTTTAATCTTTGTTTCCCTGGATTCTACCTGCCAGAAGATAACTCACCCATCTATTTATTGTCATGTTTAAACAACTGTCAGGGACTTCAGAAAGCTATGGTTTATGTCAAAGCATAGTGAAGTAAAATTATCTTAATTGCTCAAGTGAGGAATCCAATATAATAAAATAACTAAGGAAGTCTTACAGGCTTACAGGTGAATTCAAAACTGAGCTTACACAAAAATGGAAAATATGCGGAAGGATGAGCTAATTCCATGTCAGAGCTGCAGCCATTTGCTAGGGCAGCTTGGTGATTCAGTTCCCATAAAGAAATATATGCAGGACTTCAGCTCCCTGCCTTGCTTTGTTCTGACCTAAAGAAAGATCTGGAATCACCCTAAGTTGTTGTTTTTTTTTTTTTTAAAAAAAAAAAAAGGCTTGGAAGTTGACATTCATGCATACTCATTTATTTGCATTAGATGTTCCAGCCCATCTGTTCCATTGTGTTCTGTATGTTCACTAGAGACTTAAAAACTTACTACTTAAAGTAATCATTGTTTTCCTAATATATTTAAGCAAATAAAATGATGACTTTTTTCTTTACTGAATCCCTATCCAGAGATGTTTCTTACATCTTCTGTTAAGTCAAGTGATTTACATTCATCATATGCACTGCATGCAGGCATTGGTTTGAATCCCAATCAAGGCTGACATTTAAGGACATTTGTGTGGGTCTGTGCTAACATAAAACAATATTTGTCCCAAAACTGAGATAACAGGAGATGCTGGTGACTCTTCTCATCTGTGGAAAAAAAAGAAGGAACTCTTTAAGCTCAGAGCACGCCTTTTGCTACAGGACTAACATAGCTTTTGGAAGGGGCTTTGATTTATTTACACGTTTATATGAGGAAAGATGCAAACTTACCATTTCAATGACTGTGATGACTAGAAGGCATGACTTAGTGCTCATACTGTACCCATCTACTTACACAAATGTATGGAACTGGTCACATTCCATGTCTCCTGCAAAACATACATCAAATTTTATCAGCTAAGGCAATTAATAACCTGTTATGTGAGCCCTGCCTATACTTACAGTTGGCTATGTTATCCTGTGTATTCCTATTAAAAATGGTAGACATTTTAGAGAGGTTTGAAGTAGATGAGGTACTGCTGGGAGGGAACAGCATTAGAAATGTCCTAAGATGTTGGAGGTCTACAGATAAACTGACCTAATGAAATACCACCATGGAGTAATGACAAGCTCAGGGTTTGTTTGTTTGCTTCGGTTTCGTCCTACATAGAAATGTAGTTTAGATTGTGTTATGTTCATGTTGTATTTACAGGCAAAGAAAGGAAACTATGCATTCCTGTGGGATGTGACGGTGGTGGAATATGCCGCGCTGACGGATGATGAATGCTCTGTGACAGTCATTGGAAACAGCATCAGCAGCAAAGGATACGGGATAGCACTCCAGCATGGAAGCCCCTACAGAGATCTTTTCTCCCAGAGGTAAACTGAAGCAAAGCTTGTTTATAGGATTCATCTCTACAACCAGGAACCATCTGTGGTTCACATTAATTTTGGCAATTATTGAATAAAGGACAGTAAATAAGTGACAGCAGAGAGGTTATCAGTTCAGGCTTTAACAAAGCTGCTACTTCTGCACCATGTGCATCTGCTTAGGGAGGATGGGGCTGGAGGTGGTGTGTGGCCTCATGCCTCCAGGCATCACTGCCTCTGGCAGAAGAAGGACTGATGTCCTCAGAGCTTTGTGTGAGCTAGGAGAGAGACTGAAGAGGGTTCTTTGATTCATGGTACATTTTGCAGGCTATGAAGCAATCTGTTGCTCCGTAGAGTAAGCAATAATGCCCTGGTTTACCCTTTAAGGTGGAGAGGCAGGTTGAAGACTCACAACAGTACAGGAAAACAAGAATTGCTGAGTATTGCATGGGATTGCTGAGACTATGAGGCTATAAGACTATGCCATTTAGTGATCTCTGAGCTAGCAGCTAGGAATATCTTTTTTCATGTGACTGAGTACACCAAAATGAAGACATGCAGTTGTGCAGGCATGTGTGGCCTTAGCAGAAGGTGAGCGGGTGCTCTGCTCCAGGCAAGGAGCTGAAGCAAGATTTCCTCGTCTCACTCCTTCTGAGTAAAACTCCAGCTGTATAACCAGAGACAAAGCTGCCTCAAGAGAAAAGATTGCTAGTAAACAGCTAAAACAATTACCAAACCAAACCCAAAATTAATTCATGGAGGGAAGGGACACTTCACAAGAGACAAAACAATGATTAATTAGCAAGTGCTAACACAATAATTCAGGCAAGAAGTAACAGCACTGAAGTAAAATCCTTTTGAATAAACTACATTTGCTGAAGTAAATAAGTTGGTTGCTGCTTAAACAGATTCGTATTGTGGCACACAAATAGTAGCATGTTTAGTCTCATATGATTGTGCAATTATTCTGGGAGAGCAGCAGTGGAGTGAGTTGAGTATTGTCCTACTGGGACCAGCTGTTGCAGCTGAATGTAGCTAAACCAACCATGACTAACTGGAATATGGTGATTTCCCTTGGAAATGCTTCTTGCATTGCAGTGGACTTTTTGGCAGTCTCTTCTTTTTTCCTAAAGTTACCCAGTGGAGTTTACCTGCTACTGTGAGTAGAAAGAAATCCTCGTATAACAGAGTTTCAGAATAAGAATACTACACGGTGGTAGTGGTGGTAGAATGGAGTTTTGAATTGTGGGGTGGTAGATGTAAAAGTTATGTGACATACAGAAAAGACCAGAAAACTGTGAAAAGGTATCATTGAAAATCTAATACTTGTCTTTTGAAATTTCTGCAGGATCCTAGAGTTGCAAGCAAGTGGAGATTTGGATGTTCTTAAACAGAAATGGTGGCCACGGATGGGACGTTGTGACCTGAATAGCCATACCAACGCACAGACAGATGGGAAGGCACTCAAGCTTCACAGTTTTGCGGGCGTTTTCTGCATTTTAGCAATAGGCCTTCTTCTTGCATGCTTGGTGGCAGCATTGGAGTTGTGGTGGAACAGCAACCGTTGTCATCAAGAAACACCGAAAGAGGTCCATAACTTTTATTCTTATCACAATTAAAAGTAGAAAACACAAAAGTTGTGGGATTTTAGGTGCTCTCATACAATAAATTTGATTTATTTTGATTCGCCATACTAAGCTTTGCATATAACTTTTTGGGTGGTTGTTTCTAAGCAAATAAAAAAAAGCAAAATGTGTCTTTTGTGCACATGGAAGGTGCCAAACTGGCAGCCCGGGAGACTAAAGTCCTCTATTTATAGAGCAGATACAGCATGGGCAGCAGCAGTGCAAACTTCCCCACATTGCCCCACCAATGTGCCTCAACCCTGACCTGGAGAGACCACCTTTAGGGATAAGAGAGTAGTTCAGAAACATGCCCTCGGCCTCTCTGCTGTGAGTGATGGGGAGGCCAGTTATGGGCACCCCGTTGTGCCATCCGTGGCAGTGTTTTCTCTGATCTGAGACCCCATCCATTGGCTGTGAAAACCATGTCCATCCTGTGCAGGCTCTGCAGCTGCCACCCAGTTGGTAGCTGTTTTCCATCATGGCTGACTGAGGATGAGTTTTAAGAGGTACATGAGCAATTAAAAATAAACCAGCTAGTTATTAATTGAATAAGCCATATTGCCATCACACTGTTTAAATGCTTCTTTTCTTTTAAAATCAGTTTTATTTCTAAAAGTAGGAGCCTCTGAGTAAACTAACCTTCATATGACATATTTTACCCAGGAAAATACAGCTGAGAATTTCTTGGAAGTTTTCATGCATAGCAGCAAGTAATAGTTATCAATGCTATGATAGAATAATCAGTCCATACTCAGATCTGTCTTGCATGAAGCCTGTATTTGTTTACATAGATTAAATGTTTAACAAACTAACCTCTTGTAATTTTGGAGATGATGAGTTATTTGTAGCTGCTTTCATCTTGGAACAGATGTTTGTTACAAGCAAATAATAGCATCTCGCTGCACTGCTGCTGGAAAATAGTACATAGTCCATCAATTCCAGTCTATGTTTCTTAAGTTGCTAGGAGTACTACACTAATTGACATACCTATCACCTGTAAGCAATTCTGGCAAATGGGATCTGAAGATATATGTTGCAGTCCATAATGTTGTGAAATATTTATCAGTAAGATTCCATTCTTCTGAGTTCCTGCTTCTCTCATTTGAATTCATCCATCAAGTGCTCGGTGATAAACATCTGTACCACGTTCATGGGACAAAGATGCAAAGTCACTTGCCTGTGGCTCCACAACGTAGAATAGCTAAAAGGAAATTTTGGTTAAAAGAGGCATGTCCCTGCTTTGCACAGTGCAGCACTCCAAAGGTAGGCACAGGGAGAGCACAAGTAGAAACTTTTGCTTATAAAGAAAGTTTAATTTGAATGGAAGCGCAAATTTAATTGCCCTTTGGTTAAATACTGTAGCATTTTGCCCTGCTGCCTTGTAGAAGTCACTTCCTGCTGTAACCCCAAAGGCCCCACCCCGTGTTAGCATTGCTAAGGCCCAAGCCCTAGCACTATGTGGTTCACTGCCTGCTGTCAAAGCCCGGCAGGGCAAGGGGCAGGGACGTTGTCTTAAGTGTCCTCAAGCTGCGTGAGCACAAGTATTTGTTTTGATATACTCTGCAGTGTGTTCCCCTCTCTGCACTCAGGGACTTGCCTTTATGCATCTTTGTAGAGTGAGATGAGAATGCCCCAAAGGCAGTTTCATATAGGTAAGGTGAAATAATTCACTCTTGTATTGCAAGGAGTTTTAAATACTTGCTTTCCATCTCTGAAAAAGGATCTGTCTTCCTGAGTTTAGGTATTCTTTTTGCCCATCCCCTTCATTCCTCTTTTTATAACTCTAAGAGGGATTACTACAGATCCCTGTGGGTTACTCTATCCCGTCTTTTCTCCCCATCCCATCCTTCTCCTCCACCTCCCTTTCCCTCCAGTGTGTTCTTGATTAGGGTTGCTCTGTACATCCTCTTTTGCAATTTCTGTGGCAAACAATAGAATACTTTTAAGCTTCCATTTTTTAAAGTACACTAAAGTTACCCATATGGCAAAGCTGTACTTGGGAAGATCACCTGTGTGTGGGGCTAGGTCTGCCCTGGCAGTGCAGCCACTCTGGGTTAAGGGAGGCAAATGAAACTTAGGCACAGTGCACACGAACAGGCTTACAAAAGGTCAGTGATGTGGGTGCTGCTGAGAGAGGGAACAGTCAGTGGGAGCCCTGGCACAAGTAGGTGTTAAGGTTGAACGAGGAAGTGCGTGTTCCCGAGGAGGGCACGAGGATGGTGGCTCACAGGCTGAGCCATCCAGCAGGAAAGTATAAGGAGGGTATGTGAGGAATGCAGGATGGAACATAATGCAGGATCCCTGAACAGATGAGTGCAATGAAAGGCAGTAGCTAGAAGTACCTATGGATCTGGTCAGAGCAGCCGGAGGGAAGGGTGGCTATGACCCAGTGCCATGGATGGGCAGGGCCTTCAGGGACCCTCGGCTGGACCCTGGCACAGCCACGCTGTTGTCACAATCCCAACTCTGTTCCCGCCCGGACCCCCTGCAGATCGGGCCGTGTAAC